AAGCAGTGGTATCAACGCAGAGTACTCCCCGCCCCCCCCCCCTCGGTACGCCACTGATATATATATATTTTTTTTATATCACCAAGTTGATTCTTCGTTTTTAGTGTCCCATCGCTGACTAAGCTGAATTAAGGCCATAGGTTCATTAGCTTCGAGACTCTAAGTTTAGAAGCTGAATTGGATTGATCAGTTGGTTGTGCGTTTTACAGTTTCTATCGCACTTCAAATGAGAATCTTTTACCTTCAAAATGGTGCTACTGTCTACGTTTTTTTGCGTATCTTATATATAAAGCTGAATGTCTGTTTGTCTGTCTGTATGTCTGTCTGTCTGTCTGTCTGTATGTGTGTACGTATGTTCCGAATAGAAAATTCCATTTCTGAACCGATCGGGACCAAACTTGGCACACATACACTTCGGGCCCCGGCGGGTGTCATAGGTTACTTTTCGTATCGATCGATATCGATTTTATCGATTTTTTGCAAAATTTGAGCTACGGGGCTGGCAGTTGGCACAGGGGGTAAGTGAGCATGGGGATTCCGAATACAATATTACTTTTTAAAATCGTGCATTACTTTTATCGATTTTATCGATTTTTTGCAAAGTTTGAGCTAGGGGGCTGGGATTTGGCACAGGGGGTAATCGAGCATGCTGATCACCCCCGTGGGGATAGCTCAATGCCTAGCTCAAACTTTGCAAAAAATCGATAAAATCGATAAAAGTAATGCATGGTTTCAAAAACTAATATAGTATTCGTAATCAGCATGCTCGATTACACCCCTCTGCCACCTCCCAGCCCCGTAGCTCAAATTTTGCAAAAAATCGATAAAAACGACATCGATCGATAACGAAAAGTGGACTGTGACACCCGCCGGGGCCCGGAGGGTATGTGTGCCAAGTTTGGTCCGGATCGGTTAAGAAATGGAATTTTCTATTCGGAACATACGGCGGAGCCGGGTAAGCCAGCTAGTATTTTATATATTAGGGCGTTCCAAAAGTAATTTTCGCTTTTTTCAAAAGGGCACCACATTTGATGGAACAGAGATTTCTAAGAGATCTTTGTAGCATTCGATGCAGAAATTCATCCTCTTTCTAATGATTATAGCCTCATTGGCACAGAGCCAATGAACTTTAGAAAAATTGCCAAAATCCCATGCTTTTTGAGATGCTCATGTTTCAGAATTTTTCTGATTTTTTATATTGATCTTCCAGAAATATCCAAGCAATGGTATGATAGGGCAAACCTCAGAGGGTACGGCGCAACTTTTTTTTCGTTCTCATATATCGTCATAATTTTTTGAAAGATTTTTTACTAAAACCATCCGATTTTGGCAGGTCTACGTTAGCCACATTCGCATCAAACACTAATAAATTGTCGGAATCTGTAATTCCGAGGTGGTATTATGGTTTAACACTAATTTTACAAAGCGAATGAGAGTTTGCTGAATCGAAATATCTAATTTCGAATCTTTCGGGTACAGCCTGGGGCGAATTCAAAAAAAAAATGAGTTATGAAGATTGTATCTCCGGCGACTAAACAAATCGGAAACAAAAAGCAACCATTAGAAAGAGGAGAAAAAGCTGCATCGAATGACAGCCGAGCTGCTCACCGTTTGATGTTCTGCGAGGTTTGAGTTAACCAAGTATGGAAATTGGTAGCATTAGTTAAAATACTATTAAAAACATATGACGAGACATGGGGAAAGAAAAAAATTGTTTTGTGTCTTGTATGGGTTGCTCTATCCACTTGTTGCTTAAGCTCCTCTGGAGGGTTGATATAATAATTTTGAAAAATAGCTAAATTTGATCATGGCAAAAAGCATGGGTCGCGGATTTTGGAGATTTTCCGAGAGCTTATTGACTGTTCTGGAATATGTTTATAACCTTTAGAAAGAGGATGAAATTCTGTATCGAACTCTACCAAAATCTTTAGACAACTTTGTTCCGTCGGATGTGGCGCCCTTTTGAAAAAAGCGAAATTACTTCTGAACGACCTAATCTTATATATAAAGCTGAATGTCTATTTGTCTGTCTGTATGTATGTGTGTACGTATGTTCCGAATAGAAAATTCCATTTCTGAACCGATCCGGACCAAACTTGGCACACATACACTACGGGCCCCGGCGGGTGTCATAGGCTACTTTTCGTCATCGATCGATATCGATTTTATCGATTTTTATCGATTTTTTTGCTGAGTTCACCTACGGGGCTGGGAGTTGGCACAGGGGGGTAATCGGATTTTATCGATTTTTTTGCAAAGTTTGAGCTACGGGGCTGGGAATTGGCACAGGGGGGTAATCGGATTTTATCGATTTTTTTGCAAAGTTTGAGCTACGGGGCTGGGAATTGGCACAGGGGGGTAATCGAGCATGGGGATTCCGAATACAATATTGGTTTTCAGGATTATCGATTACTTTTATCGATTTTATCGATTTTATCGATTTTTTGCAAAGTTTGAGCTACGGGGCTGGGAGTTCGCACAGGGGGGTAATCGAGCATGGGGATTCCGAATACAATATTGGTTTTCAGGATTATCGATTACTTTTATCGATTTTATCGATTTTATCGATTTTTTTGCAAAGTTTGAGCTAGGGGGCTGGGAGTTGGCACAGGGGGGTAATCGAGCATGCTGATCACCCCCAAGGGGGGTGATCAGCATGCTCGATTACACTCCTGTGCCAAATTCCAGCCCCCTAGCTCAAATTTTCAAAAAATCGATAAAATCGAAAAAGTAATGGACGATCCTGAAAACTAATATTGTGTTCGTAATCTGCATGCTCGATTACCCCCCTGTGCAAACTCCCAGCCCCGCAGGTCAAACTTTACAAAAAAAATCGATAAAATCGATAAAAGTAATGGACGATCCTGAAAACTAATATTGTGTTCGTAATTCGCATGCTCGATTACCCCCCTGTGCAAACTCCCAGCCCCGCAGGTCAAACTTTACAAAAAAAATCGATAAAATCGATAAAAGTAATGGACGATCCTGAAAACTAATGTTGTATTCGGAATCCCCATGCTCGATTACCCCCCTGTGCCAACTCCTAGCCCTGTAGGTGAACTCTGCAAAAAAATCGATAAAAATCGGTAAAATCGACATCGATCGATAACGAAAAGTGGACTGTGACACCCGCCGGGGCCCGAAGTGTATGTGTGCCAAGTTTGGTCCGGATACGGCGGAGCCGGGTAAGCCAGCTAGTAATATATATTTCTATATAATCTGGCCCTGGACCTCCTTACTACAATTAGTGTCTAATTGTTGTCAGTAGCATCAGAAAGAGATGCATAGGTCATGGATTTCGTATTTACCTACGAGATGGACTATTTGCATTGGGAAACTGAGATAACATTCTTTTTATCCATGCCGTAAATGCTCAAATAATTGGTAAAAATTCGCGACTATTTCGTTGTGGAGCTTCTTGCGTTTATCATTAGGCTACAGATAGAAGACGGCAACTTATGCAGTTTTCTTGTCTGTGTATTGAAATGAGATTGTATACTATTATCTGTCCGTTTTTCCTTGACTCTCTTTCAACCTGAAGGCGTTTTTATTTATCACACCCGTATATGTTTACGCTCTAGTTATACTATACAGTAAAACTTTACAGCACTTACAAGTAGTATCTCATGTTGGTATTTTATTTCAGATCTCCATTCATTTTCTGCCTCATCTTAGCGTATGTACAAACCCAAGAAGCAGTACGGATTTCGAGTTTTTGTTGGATCTTGTATATTTACCACTATAACTATAGGTTCGCCCTGCTATTTTATTCTCCTTCGAACATGCTAGGATATCTTTCAGCGCTTGTTCTTTGGGATGAACGGCGGCAAAGGGAGAGGCGACAAGAAGGAGTAAAATATCGATTAAAATCCATACAACAACAACAAAATATGCAAGAGTACGAAGAGCAGAAACAACGATATGAGGAATATAAGAAAGCTCATTCGTTATAATTACTGGTATTATATTTTCAATTGAATCAGTAGTCTACTGGTATCTAGTATTTATCGTTAGATTGTTCAGATTTTGACTTTTTTAGGCAGTCTACTCAGCCTTTTTTTCACTTCAGCTGCGTTAATTCCTTGTTGAAATGCTTATAAAATGTTTGACATAAATGCGTTCAACTTCTCTTGGGGTTTCTGAGAATATGGTAACACACCTTTCATTCTGTCCTTCTTGTCTGTCTCTCTCATCTCCTTCTCATCTGTCCTTAGTTTGCACATGTGTGAAAGGTTTTGTTGATAACATGTCCAGTGTGTCCATTTAGCGCGAGCAGATATTATAAGTGTGAAATGTGTACATCTAGCATCGTACTATCGGGTTCAAAAAGTTTTAGACATACCAACTCAGTTTTAGATCGTCATGTTAATAACCACAAGTTTCGTTGGCGGTCGAGTAATTAGGGTAGCCGCCACCAAAACGACGTTAGATTTTTTGAGGTAATTAATTCTGTATCGCTGAAGATGAAATTGAAGTTTTGTCAACTAAGCATATTGATTCTTTTAGACTGGCTAGCTCGACCTCTCTAATAACTACAAGATGGAAACCTGAAACTGTCTATCTCTACCAGTTTCCTAGGTCACCAGTAGTTCCTAATTTATCACCGTTTTGTCTCAAAGTGGAGACTTTTCTGCGAGCGAATCAGATCAAATATGAAGTGAGTGTAATTAGTGTCTTATCTTATGTCAAAATTCCTAAATAATTCTAGGTCATAGGTTCCTACCGTCAATACCGTTCTTCGCGTGGACTACTACCATTTGTTGAGCTGAATGGACAAAGAATAGAGGATTCGCAAGTTATTTTGTGGGAACTCCAGAGACACTTCAAACTTGAGGTAGAACATCAGCAATTAGTTGATGTTATACTGTATTTTCAATATCATAATAAGTTAACATCATCTATTTTGATGAGTATTGCGTCATTACTTTCTATTAGGTTGATGCCTAATTCCTGCACCAAAATAGGTACAGACCGCAATAACTTTGAATAATCCTATATCCTAAGTAGGACTCGATGTATCATTAGGTAAAGCAAACCTAGCTCTACAAGATAGTGCCTAAAGTTTTGCAGCAGGTTTGATTCAAGATGATTGACGCCCAAAAACGAAAAGATCCAAGCGCCCTAAAAACCAAGAAAAAATTTAACTTGCTCATGCATTGTCATTTCGTATAAGACATCTCTCTATGCAGTTGCTGTATTTTTCTGTTAGCTAGAAATTGGGAAAACGAAGTTTTTCATGTTTTTTCCAAAACAATGCTGAGATGTTCTAACACAGTTTATACTATAGGACCTTAGAAGCGTGAATGTGGATTTTCAGCTCTATACAGCAGCTGGTTTACGAGAAATATCGAATTTTTGGCAACTAGGCAAGAAAAATTTCCGATGAAGAGAGCTAAATTCGTCATTTCTTGTGGACTAGCTGCTCTAGAAGGCTGAGAATGCAAAGTTTCACTGCTAATGGCATGTACTATACAACTGTTGGTGCTAGAACGTCTCAGCACTAATTTGGCAAAAACATGAAAAACTTCGTTTTCTCATTGTCTAGCTGGGAAAAAAATACAGGAACCGCATAGATAGATGTCTTACGTGGAATGTCTACGCGTGAGCAAGAAAGAAATCTTGTAGGAGCTTTTTGAACGAAGTTACAATTTTGTTTTGATTGGTCTTAAGGTTTTCGAACGCATGGTTTTTTTCAGTTTTCGGCTCAAAACTTCGCATGGATCAAAGCTGGTGTAGATATTTGAGCACCATCTTGTAGAGTTAGGTTTGCGCTATCTAATGATATATCGAATCCTACTTAGGATATAGGATTTTTCCGAGTTATTGCGCTCTGTACCTATTGAGCAAGTATTATGCATCAACCTAATATTTTCTTTGTAATTTTAGATATCAATTTGATTTTTCGTGAATATTTATTCTTGGTACTTATTTTTGTTGATATTCATTAAAATCAGCATTGAACGTCATTGTCAATCATGTCTTAGCCTCAGAGACCAGGACACGCATCGAGTGGTGGGAATTAAAGACCTAGCGCCGCAAAGCAAGCACTACTAACAACTTCCAAATTGTAAGAGAACTCAGCAAGTTTAAAAGATTGGGTCCACCTAGAGGCACTGGGTCACACACATATTTGGTGCAGAGCCAGAAGAAGGAAGGATCAATTAAGAAACATGATTGTGGAACGATGAAGTGCAAAGAGTCATAAAGGAACGAAGGAGGACAATTCTCCATACCAACAAGCTAAACACGCCGAATGTTTTTGTAAAGAAAGCAAAGCATTTGTACATGCAAGATCTTTACAGAAATTGGAGTCTCGCGCGGGAAAACGCGAGACACACCGAGGAAGAAGAGCGAGGTTCAAAGGCATGGAGCATTCCTTCATATCAAGGACAAGCTTGGTGGGACGCTAAGAAATTCGGAGGACATTACCGAAAGATGGAGAATCTACTTTGAAGAGATGGCCACCTCAAGCCGCAAATTTCAACTCCCTACCAAAAGGTGATCCCACAGAAGGACCAGTATCAGCAGTTCCGAAAAGGAAGTATGGCTAGCTGTATGAAGAACAAAGAATGGCGAGTGACTGATCTAGACAACATACGCGAACTACGGGATGTGTGGCAGTGCGGAGGTTTATGGCTAAGAAGTCTCTGCAATCAAATCACAGAGAGCAAGAGTATGCTTCGCGACTGTTATAAACAGCATTGATTTCTGGAAGGACAAAGGAGAACGTGAAAGCCCTACTGACTAATCCGCCTTATGACCGTAGTCTGAAACTCTTTGGGCGAATAATCGGAACGCGGCTTCGAGATTTCACAGAGTTATCACTGAATCAGTGCGGATCAGTGAACAGGCACGACCGATATTTACTCCGCTTGGATAGTGGTGGAGAAATATAGAGAGAAGCAGATAAGGCATGCAGCCTTCCTTGTCTGGAGATAGCTTTCGTTACTGTGCACCCTGACGTCATATGGCTGGGCCTCACGGAAACACATGGACAGTACCACAACGCTGCTAGTCACGGAAAACATACAACTACAGAGCAATCGACAGAGTTCCATACCAAGATTGGAGTATTCAAGGTTTAGACCTCTTTCTCTCTTGCTCTCATCACTGCATGATTGCTGTGCTATTTAGATGTGAATTTTTCTTGAACAGTTCTCTACGCAAATGATGTGGTCTTGATAGCAGGCACTACTTTAGAAGAGATTTGCAAGAGGTATAAAACTGGAAGAACGGCTACTGTGTGTACGGCTTGGAGCTCAACACTTGAAGACAAAATATGTGGAAATGGGAAACAAATTCCAAGTACCATAAGCATGTTGAAGAGCTAAAGAAGAATTTTTATACAAGTATAGGCTGACGCACAACGACGCAATATCTTTGGGCGCGAACGCGGCTTCTTTGGCCGCAGAGCACATAAGGCGCAGGATCTACGACGGTGTGGACACGCACGCGCCGCGTTCGCGCCCTCTCAAATAATACTGCTCCTGCGCCTTCGTCGTGCTGTAGCGTTCACTTATGCAGTCATCATATCTCATCAGAGGAAGCGCTAGTGGAGGTCGCAGTAAGTGAACGCAACGTGAAATGGAAAGCCTCAATCGGAGCTCGGAATACGAGGAATGCCGGTGTTGCTCAAGCCCAACGCCACTGGCAAACCGTGGAGAGATGGGGTCCCCCCCCCCCCTCCCGAGAATGGGTCGTGAAATTTTCCAAATTTACTTACGTAGGCTATAAAAACGTGCAAGTGACTCGCCAGCAAAAACTTCAAGAAGTACCATAACAAATTTTTCCGAAGTGAATTGTGCGTTAGCCACGCACCTTCATTTGATAAAAGTTTTGCGGTCCCCCCTTCCCCCCTCCCCCCCCCCCCCGGACGGATCCTGCGACCGCCATGCAACGTCCAGCAGTTATTCGTCCAGCAGCACTGCTGTATGGCAGTGACTGCACATGTGCGGCAGACTTGGAGCCCAAGCTTATTGTCACGAGACAAGGATGTGCAATGGAGCTTAGGTGTACCGTGAATGACCATATCTGCAGTGACACTGCACGGGTCCAAAGAAAGTAGCTCTAATTGCCCAGTCCAGTAAACCGTGTTGCGATAATATGGGCTTATGCGCAGAGGAAGAATAAAAGATTTAGGGGCAGACTCAAGATGAGGTGGATGGACAAGATTAACCTGAACTGTGGGAGCCCGATAGATGGAGTCGTTGCCAGATGGGAGAACGGGAGACATCTGCAGAAAACCAGGCCTTGCATAAGCGGAACCTAGCGAATAAATTATTTTTCCATTAGCATTGATATTCGTTTGCCTTGCCCAAATTTTCAATGCTAAGCCATTCAGGATGGTTTGACTGGTACGGAGCGTGGTACTGCTCGAGCTCTCGAACGAATGGTAGATGTGAGCACATTCTAGTGAGCTTATCATCGTCTGAATGGATCTGAAATCATTCACAGCTATTTATAGCGCTCTGTTATATGACAAGTCGGTGTTGAACGCGCCTGCGTTTATGAGCAGGACTGTGTCCGGCTTACCGTTACCTGGCTTCATTTCAAACTTTCTGGCGAAAAAGTTCTCACAAACAGTAAGTTTTGTTACTTTTTGATTACCAGGGAATGTAGGCATCTGTGGTGGTGCCTCCACTACCACGCGGTATAGATGGTAAGTAAGTTAAATTAGTCTATATGATTGATGGATCTTGAGATTATAATATGAGACGTGAGCATTTGATTACACTACCGATTCTGTCTGCTGACCAGACAGTCATCAACTGTTATAGACTCTGAAAAGACGGTATAGCCAAATCTTTAGTCGAACGCAATTATTGAACCCGCTGTGAAGCTCAAGCCCTCAAAGCAATTTCTACAATGTAGAGATTGAGCGACTGTCGTACTTGGGTTACAATACCGCCTATAATTTGCGAGAAAACGACGCAGTTGTCACCTATCCAATCGCCATCTTCGATTCAGAGTAGACGATTCCTGTATAAAAGGCATTATTCAGTTCATCTTGACGACTCACATCTTTTGTTTTATATAGCCTGTCCGGGTACGATAGATGCACGTTGGGCATTTAGTTTCCAGCGGCTGCTGACCGTGTAAGTGATTAATAACCTACCGTAAACAAGACCTAGAAAGAATTGTGAAAGATGATACCTACAATATAGCTACAGCACCCAAACAAGCAGTTTAATATACTATAAAATGCCCGGCGTCAAGTTTATTGATGCCCTTGTATTCGTAATTTGTCTTTTTTTGAAACGAGAAATGGCGCTGCGATGTAAATGTCGCAAACTCCGGTAACATTTGTGCCTTTCAAATGAGCGTCATCGTACAATATAGTTGAAACCGAATATAATTCAAATTTTCGTAATCGAACAATCATTGAAACTATTAGGTTATGTAATAAGTTCGTTCGCATTTTTTGTTTTCACTTTTTTCTCAAAACTTTGCAAAGCATTCAGCAAAATGTTAGTACGCGTTCGGAAGCTCTAAGTCTGCTCTACCAAACTTCTATTATGATATTTTCAATTCTTGAAAAGTTGAACAAAAAATTTGATTACATACCGAAAAACCCAAGAAGACAGAAATTCCATTTTCGACATCTTTTTCTTCCTTACTTTTTCCGTTATTCATTATTGAAATTTATACAAAACTAATTATTTAAGCACTTACTAAAACTGTTTACGACTGCCCACTTCCTTTCATCGAATCCTCCTTTCATCCTTCAATGCAATTTTTGCAAAAGTCGGCGTAGCAAGGCTTTGCCGCAGCGGCGTTCGTTGTCTCGCGTACTTGGGCTGTGTGTCCCCCAGATTCTGAATTTTTGACTATATAACACATTTATTCGATGATTTAGCGATCATAGACCACATTGTTCTGCCAGTTCCTCGAGTGTTCGGCCGGAAATAGGGGTTTTCTGGGGCGCTCTTTTCAAATATGCTATTAGTTTTGCGCTCTCTTTCCTTACAGGAGCCGAAACATTCTTTGGTGAATTGACTTGTAGCTTACGAAATCTCGCCACCTCGCTATGCCTAATTATACCCCGCAGACACATACCCATGAGGTGCAAGAATATCACGGGTAGGTAAGTTCCGTCCCCCCGAAGGGACATCAAAAACGTACCTATTTTTGAGCTTACAATATGAATTTTCAAGAAATTTCAACACTTATAAATAACTGCGGGAGCTACAGTATTTTATTTATACACATCGCTAGATTTTCGAACTCTTTTTTAGGCGTTCAAACCCATTCGAGACGCAGCGTAATATAGATGTCGAAGACGGGATTTTCCCTCTCTTAGATTTTTCTCTTCATTCAACTTCAAAAACTGGGAATATAATGGTCGTAGTTCGGTAGACCAGACTTTGAGTTTCCAAATGCATACAAATATCATGCCAAGTGCTCTGTAAAATAGTGAGAAAAAACTGGAACAAAAACGAACGAACTTACTCAACAACCTAATAGGATAACCGAATATCCAGAAAGTACATTTATTTGATTATTCGAATAGTCGAATAAATGACGAAGACTTTGATTCGAATTCCTTAGTCGGCGGATCAGAAAAATAACTTATTCGGATATCCGAATGGAATTGCGTTTCGAATAAGTTACTTTATCGATTCGTCGAATGGACGAATATTCAAGTAAAGGTCTTTTTCATTCATTTGACTATTCGAATAATAAACATGCACTTCCCTAAATATTCGACTTTTCTATTTCGTCATTCGAATACAAATTTGGGAAAAATTCGGTTCCAACTTCATTGTACAATGTACTATATTACTGTACTATATTACTATTGTTGTACTATATTGTACAACATTGTACAATCCAACATTGTACAATCACTAAATCACCCACTCCATCATAGATTGGCGATTTTGTTCGTTCTCCTGAATGAATAGCCTTCGCACTACTATCGCATAGTAAAAGTGTTGTTGTAGGCTCACCCTATCAGTAATCGTATCCGATTTGCAGTATTCATTATCGCGATTCCACGTTCCGAAACTTTTATCTTTGAAACTGACTCCAGTTTTTGAAACTTTTGGAAACATCCCAAGATTGAACACGTGCGCAATTAATCCATATAGGCTATTTGAAAAAGTTTGCGACCCTTGCCGCTCCCTTTCCGCCGCTACCTTGTATTCTGGTGTTAGCACTGGAATGTGAAGCTTGATAAGTCAGCAAGATGACACGAAGCGTTTACATATCAGAGATATCGGCATCAAATGTCAGCCAATTCCCGTGTCATAAAAATAATCTCTGGAATGGTGTATTAGAAAGAAATTAATTGCGTTCCTATGATTACAGTCTATGAGTAGTCTTTTTTTTATTGAGACTGTCTCTGCGAAATGGTTCAGTCAAACAATTTTTGTTTTGCGATTTGATGTTGTATGTAGACTACTCAGATTCAGTTTTAGATAGTTCAGCTTCAGATATGATTTTTGATATTCAGATCAAAAAACGAGTTAATGGAGTACTTGGTGGATTACCAAGAGAAAATCTCAAGGAACTACTAAGGCGAGATATCAGAGCCATAGACGATGTGCTTCAAGATAACAAGTTTTTATTTGGTGGCAAAATGACCGTGGTAAGTTTTTTCAGATTATTTCTGAAATCTCTTTCAAATACTCTCACATATCAAAGAGGTGGTACTCAAAGGAAGTGTCCCGGCAGATTCGCGTCATGGAAGATATAGCTGTGGTGTGGTTCTTGGTCGCCCTACTAACCTCCAGGCCCAGTCCGGCTGGTTGATGTTCACCTTGCGTCGAGAAAACAACCCCTGGACAGGCGCGCGCGCGGACGCCTTAGCTTGACTGTTCGGCCAGGAGGCCATAGCTCCCGCATTGTGCATGTTATCCAGAGCAAAAATTACAGCGGCATAGTCTTCCGGCCAGGGTCTCCCAACTTTCCATTGAAACTCTCATCCTAGTTGCCTTTTGGACAAACGGAGTTCTCGCCCGGTTCAAAGCTCAAATTTGTCTTTTGGTACTAAAAAAGCCTACAACATGCAGAAAGGTGAAAACGCAAAATCTGCTGGGACACTGCCTTCAAGGGAGCTCAAGGGAAGTTCTTGTGAAACTTTTTTTTTCAGACGGACTGCGCTGTGTTTGCTCAGCTCGCAACGACTTTCTATCTACCATATCGACAACTGATTACTGACCTCTTAGAGGACGAGTTTCCTCGAGTTCGACATTACTTACAAAGGATTCGTCAGCATTACTATCCTGAATGGAAGGATGAACGATAATATCTGACGATATTCAGTGATTTTTATAGGGACGAAGTTTTGAGAGATCTGTTTTGACTACACCCTAGCTATAGACTCGTTTTCTTCTTACCCAATTCAACCATTGTTGAATTAGTCAGGTGTAGATGATGTAGTTTTACCCAGAACCATGTTATTTCATAGATTTAGTTTTGACCAGTTTATGCATTCTTCAATATGTATAGCTTTGTCAATATTTCTCACTATCACGAAAATAGGAAATGAGAAGGATTTGATGTTTTGTTTTGGGTATACATCCGTACCTACTATAACGTGACTGCGCAAAGCATTGGATGATTTATTCTTTCCTCTCTTCCTTATTTCCTTAATCGAAGAAAAGTAAATTGGAAGCATGCTCATGCCTCTCGAGATTGAGAATTTCCCATATTCGATAACATCTTATCGAGTCCCCGATTTCGAAAATAAAAAAAAATTCTATTAACGATTTTACTTCTATCTTCAAAAATCGGAGAATAGTAATTACTAATTGTGTGAAACACTATTGTGAGAAATTGAGGTATGCTTTATTGGTCATCCAGCAAGATGAAAAGATGTTCTCAGTAAGTGATGTATGATTCAGAGCTCAAATTTTTCGTTGGCGGGTTGAATTCTACCCCTGGAGCATTTCTTTTCTTCCATTCCGTAAAGTCTCTCTAAAATAGGCTGTTATTATAGCTTTAGGATTTTCTTGACGTACCCATACGCATTCCTCGAATTGTTCGATTGCCTCAGTAGAAAATCGTTTTGCTAGCAGATCGCGTTTCCAAGGTGGTATGCCTGGTGCATTGCTCTGAATAAGAATTATGAGAAAGCGAATCATCAAAGATGAGTAGGCTCTCACCTTGATTTCAGTGAAATATTCTGGGGAATAATATCGTTTTGCCTCTTCGATGCTTTTTTCAACCTGATATGAAGAGTATTCTTTGGTCAGCCGTAACTGAGTTAGTTTGAAATGATACACACCAAGAGCTGTCTCTGCTATTGGGACAGTATCTTTGTGGAGAAAGTGAAAAATCGTCAAGAAAAGTAGTGTCTCCATTTGGAGCTTAGCAATCAGGATTCTTGTTATCTTTATACTTATTGTTTCTGTTACCAAGAACAGTAAGTATTAGAATAAACAGTATTACATAGCTATCAATACATTATTGAGGGATAATTGACTCCGAGCTACAGAGTCAAAAAAAATCGGGGATCTGAAGAGATGATGGGTTTTCTAGAAGACGCTCTTGAAATCTGAGACCTATTACACTTACACAATGTACGCTTCTTGTCACTTACCTCTTTGTATTTCTTCTCTACCAAGGTTTTGCGGAGCTCGTTCATTGCTACGCTATCTTTATTTTTGGAACTGTAAAAATCTTAGTTTAGAGATTCCAACATCAGAGGCAACTTGTTTCAAAGGAATGAGACCATTTAATTTGAGGTAAGTTCTCCCCAAAATTGCGTTTGTGACTTTCTTCCAGTTGTGAGTAATAAAAGTAATTTTCAAATTTGAAGAAAAATTAGCTTGTGGTGGCAGTCACGCCCCTTTTTCGCAATTTTCGGGGTTATGGGCTCGCGAATCTGGAAATCCCATGTTTCTTTTCGATAGGCGGAATTAACGCCACGCCTCTTCATTCGAAGGAAATTTTCGTCGCGCCTCTCCCTCTCCCCCCTCCCAAAAAAATATTTTTCGAACTGTAGTGGTGTATGACGGGACTTGATTGTTCGCTGTGGTGGTGTTTTTCGGTTTGTGAGGAAACTACTCTGATGCTGCTAGATTGTCATCTGTTTTTCTCATAATGTGACTAGTCCATCTGTGCTTTGCTTTTGCAACTAACCGTTTGGTCACGAATACGGGACATCTTTTCTCTTCCGCGTCGCGAGGGCCGGCGAAACGTTGCTTGTGTTGTGTTATCTACAAAAGACTACGCTCAAGCGCACGGATGGTTCATAGAGCATTGGACGTGACTGGATTGTGGATCCAATCTCAGCTGCGTAGCGGAGCGCTCGGATAGTGGAATCGAACATTTGGGCTCGAAGCTCCAGTGGTCGGTGGATTTCTTTAAAGAAATCGAAGGAGGCTTTTTTGTTCCTGTCAGGTTCCCACTCTTTTCCACATTCATCAACGTACGCGTAAGAAGACGTTTCGTTGTGAAGAAAAGCCTTCTATTTCCTCCGCATCCAAAAGAACTTTCAAGATCTTCCCTATCTTACTTCCTTCAGCGACGTCTTTTCTTCAATAGTACTGCTCGATATAAAAAAGATGTTGTTCGCAAGACGAAAACTCGAGAGGAGTTCTCATCACGTATGCCTTTGACGTCCCAGGCCCGTGCTTCATCACTCCCGCAAGGTCGCGTAAGCAGCTTCGAAGAAACTGTGTTGTCTTGTCGTCCTTTCCCCAGTTGAAATGGTTAGGTGGCGATGGATTAGCTGCACAGTTTCATCCGAGTTCGACCGTCGCTCAACTCGGCATTGTTGAAGCTTTTTGAGGAGACTGCTTTAGCTGCACGACAGGAATAGTATCTTCTTACTGGGAAAGACCTTCAATGCGTCACTAAACCAAGAGCGAACCAGTGCTCATCTAAACAGCTGATGGCTGTCTAGTCAGCCATGAGCTGTTTAGGTTCTTAAGTAGTAATTCGGTGACCTAGCACTTGACTCTAGAAGCGGTAAAGTTTTGACAGGCGCCCAACTCATTACTGATAGCTATGCACTCATCCTTCCTATTGCACTGTTGTACGGCGCTTGCAGTAGTCTGCCAACGTCATCAGATAAGCCGGTCCACTCCTCGATTGGTTAGTGGGAAGGCGTTCGTTTTGACACTGTCAAAGGCCTTTCCATAGTCAGGACAAGAAGCAGTCGTTACTCAGTGCAGACTTCAGTGACCCTCGAAATTCTCATTTTGTCCTTGCTGCCAAGTCCCTTTCTGAACCTGACTTGTTTCGAATGCTAGACATCATCTCGTATCCTTGATCTGCGAGCAAGGATGTCAGGGAAGCGTGCACTTATGGAATGGACTCAACATATTTGACTTTATTTTCGAAGATCTTTCCGCCTTTCTTCAAGAGAAGGGCGGTTCTTGAGGTTCTTTGGTCGGCAATACTTTCATCTTGAGGGTAAGAGTCAATGGTCTGCGAAAATAGTGTATATGTCTTCTGGTTCGCAGAACCTCGACAGAAAGATGATCGGATCCTGGAGTCATGATGCATGATGTCTTCATAGTCTAAAGGTGCGCGGTGCGCGATGCACACTTCAGCAGCGAAGAATCCATGGTGGTGGAACAAGAGGAGTTGATGGCATGCTGAGCAGATAAGGTTGTTATAGAAGGTCTACGCGATCAGTTTCATTCTATGTAGGGAAAAGTACCAGCGGTACGGTGGATTCCCATATGTCCCGCTTCTCCTGAGACATCTTCCTTCTGCTATTTCTAATGTCGCCGCTTTCCTGTACTTTCAAAATCCTCCTGCAAGACTGCTACGCCTGGGGTTCGCTTACTAAAACAGAGAGAGCTGAGTCGCATTTTTATACTGCCTGAAGAGTCTTGCTTCTTATGCTGTGCAACGCGTCTCGAATCGAGACGCGTTCGAGTTTGTTAAAAAGCAGTTAAGGAGCACTCTCCGCAAGTTCGCGAACCTTTCACAAGTCGTCCTAATCGTAGGGAGAAGGGTGGGGGGGGGGGGGATCTTCCTCAGTGGGCCACGGCTTGATCTGAGCTCCTTCAGTCTGTGTCCTGTTATAAACGAGCTTCAATAAACCCGATTTCCACACTATCAGGTTGTCGAACAACCTCTGTCACGCTTTCTATTTTGATTCTTAAAAATTTCAGGGGCTTTCGAAAGATTTTATGTTCACGGCATGTACAGGGTCAAAAGGTCTATACGTGGGTACCGTCGTATTCGCGGTTCGTGCGCAAAACTCCATTTTGTTTCTGAAGATCCATTTTGTTTCCATTTTTGTAAATGCATTTTTCCAAGCGATGATCGAGAGACCAGACGAAGTGATATCGGACACTCAGCAATGGAGGGGGGGGGGAGGGGTGACACACCATTCTAAAAACGTTTATTTGAGCCATAGTCGGTGTGCACCATCTTTGCAATCATCGACATTCTAACAAAAAAACGTCTTCAAAAAATTTGAAAAAATCATATTCAAGCTTCTTGTGATTATTTTTCACAGATTCACATAAAAAGCAGAATTTAGGGAAATTTTTTGAATTTTGGATATTTCTTCACCCTTCTTTTTTCAAACGCTAGAGGCACCAGGTACTTCCATATAAAAGACCACGCCAAAATCCATTTAAAAAGATTTTAGAAGAGGAAAAGCACAAGTAGGTGCAGAGATTATCAGAGGGGAACCGAAAATTTGAATGTGTTATGCCGTAAAATTGTTGATTATTTGTGCTCAATCTTGGTGGTGGTTAGATCCTGCTATGTCGTATGTGTATCGCATTTGGGGTTTTCGGGAGGCTTTTGCATTTCCAGAAAAAATAGATAAAAGTGCAACAGAAGTCATCCGACACCTGACATTGTGTAACTACACCTGGAGAAGGAAGGAAGAGCCAATGCCAAGATTAAGCTAACTAGATGGTAGAATGAAAAAGTGGGGGAGGTGGAAGGACAAACTTGACAATTGACGATCGCGCAGCACACATGGGTGTAGCATGGCTGACTTTGTAAAATTACCATCTCGAGGATTTTTTTTCCAAATTATCGAGCTTGCTGGATTTAGAAATGGCTTCTATGTTGGTAGCCTCTTAGAGCTACTGTTGATATTGTAAATGACAGCTTGCGTGGTTGATCGAAAAGTTTAAACGGGTGAGAAACTGGTCCCAGAGGGCAGACAACCAAAAATGCGCATGGTCGTCAAGTATTAAAACTTTGCCGTCATGCTGGATAATCTCAAATCTCTCTTACCTTTGCAACTCTTTCATAATGTCATCGCTAAAATCGGGAGCAACTGGAGGAGGAAGGTTTTTCGTCAAACTATTAGTGCTTTTGGGGGAGTGTTGCTTCTCTGGAAACTCGATGGTATCTGAGTAAAGTGTGAGTGATTTCTATGTCCAACCTTGTTGTTCACCATTGCTCTCTTCAGTTTGTTTGAAAGGGATTGGAGGATGGGGAGGTTTTTTCTTCTCAAACTGACGGTGAATATTCTCCGCAATCACTTCCAGTCTTTCTTTTGATCCAGGTGGGAATTCCTCTTTGTCAAGAACCGCATCAAGATCTTTGAGCAGATGTTCAGCTACTCGCACCGTCGTTGTCGTATCGGTTCTTCCTCGTACTTGGATAATATCCTCGCCATCTACTTTGCTGAAACATGGAATTTTTTCAATTTCTTTTGTACAAAAAGAGCTCTTACTGTGTTGTGCGTCGTGGTTTCGGTGGTGGAGGTGGTGGCAGCTCAGGTATGGGCGGCCTCTCCTCTGGCCTGAATTGACAGAATCGTTTGCGTTCACTTGATTTGCTTTCAAAAGACAGAAGTTCACCGATAACTCGGCTCCTCTATTGATACATAGTCAGCTTCACGGAGAACTGCAAATGCTGGAACCGGCTCAGTCCCAAAATGAACAACAATGAGACATTAGCAGCGGAGCGTATATGCCCTCTAAACTATGTTTTATTCCATACCGCTGATCCTCTTCCTGCTGCTGCGATTCCTGTGAAGCCTCATCGGAAGGTGGGGGTGTAGATGCTGTATCCGATTCTTTTCTTAGTTGTTGCAACGGGGGTGTTGATCTCTGCGTCGGCTTAGGTGATGATTTTTCCTCAGACCTGAATAGTGAAAGCACACTGTAGTTAGGCTGACAAAAGATTCTTATTATTCGAAATGGTTTTATTACATCTAAGATACTACAATGACCATCTGGATAGGCTAATCACAATCTTTAGTAGTAGATTGCTGAACAACTTTGTCGGTGATTGTTCGAGTGTTATCTACATATGATTTAGTCATTTTTGCATTCGAAAAGAGCGTTTACTTATTTACTCAGAAATACATCACGCCGAAATTGGGAAACAGAGTAAGAAAAAGTGCAAAGGTTAACCTGTTTATTCTTCTCATAACAAACTTAGCATGCAATTTGTCTTATTACGAGGGAAGGCACCTAAATTAGGTTGGCTTTTTGATAGACGGTACGTATAAAATCAACTTGAAACGCTGACTTCCAATTTGCTATCTCTTATGAAGCATTGTGCAAATTTATGGGCTCTTTTTGTGCAAAATTTGCGTGCCTATCGATTTACCAAGTAGATGTTATTGCAGCTGCAAGATTGTTAAACAACCTTTATTAGGCTTACGTTTCGGCGTCTCCGCCTTCTTCAAAGCCTGTAAGGACGATGATATCTGTAATCTATTCCTCCAAATGCTCTATCTCACCATACAACTCAATAGCCGACAGAGCCAGAAACAAACGAGAGACGCAAAACAGTGAGCGCTTATCTTATAGCCTTGCAGTCAAGAGTAGGCGACCATCCACAGTGAAGCGCCGCTGCTATGGTATTGATATATTCAAATCACTCCCCGCACAGGCTCTGAAGAAGGCGGAGACGCCGAAACGTAAGCCTAATAAAGGTTGTGTAACAATCTTGGCTCAGCTGCAATAACATCTACTAAAGTTGATCAAGATATGCCAAGATTCATTGACGGTCGGACTTGGAATTTTATCGATTTACTGATATACAATTGCATAATGTCTACATCAGTACCAGAAGTCTAAACCTGCTGTTATTTAAATATTCCAGCAACTTTTTCAAGCAGATTTCTACTTACAAGCGTCTTCCCATATTCAGGAATGCGTCAACGGCTAGTGATAAAAAGCTCATAATTTTTTTTTAGAATAAGGCTTCGCAGTTAGAGACAACAAATTTGGACTCAGCTTTCAAGCTAGTTGTGAATATGCCGTTTTGCCAAAAGGCTGACCCAAAGATGCTTTGCCTCCTTGTGAAAAAATCTTTGGAGAGTCTTTGCAAAGTAATGGAATTGTTTTCGAGTCACTCTTCATTACCACCTTGTACAGGTGCGTTTTGCGTAGAATAGCGGATGATAAATTGTGATTAGGATGAAGGATAAAGGATTCGGCGTTTTCAGTACCCTCTGCGGGCATGCACACTACTTCATAGTCGAAGAGGCAAGTATATGTGTGCGAGCCTTTCACAGTGACTTGCGGGAGCCAGCCGATTACCAAGTCAGTGTGCTTTTATCCTCCCAAATTACTCTGATAGCCATTTACCGGCCCCGGGGGGGGGGGGGGGTAGAGGGCTTGGTTGGCACAGGAACGGGATCGAACCTGGGCCGATTTGGTCATAGCGGCGCTTCATACCACTGTGCCACTCGCCCCCTATAAACTGTGATTTGTACCTCAAAGACAAAGAAAAGAATGCCTTGTATTAAGAATAGCCTAAGCCAAGAGTTAATCAGGTTTCAAAATGAGGGAAACTTCATATTTCTTGCTGACAGGACGTTTTGTGCTGGAAATTGTTGAAAAAGAATGGGAGAGTTAACATAATCTGTACGCTATCCACACCGCCTAAACGATGCCATACCTCCGACAGCGGGATCAAGTGAGTCCGTACATGACAACATGACCCCTTTACGGCAGAGCTTGTCAAAACTGTCCCGCGAGATATGACTGGGAGGTACTTTTGTATTCACGCTACTCAAATCTTGTTCCATCAGATTAACATTTGTATTACTCTCTTGCAAATCAGTTAAAATGCATTCGAATCATGAAGAAGAGCATAGGGGCTGTTGAAGGTCTGCACAACAGAATGTACGTTATTGGTTTTTTGATAGGATTTTGGTTTTTCTTTGTTTATGGAAACTCTGCTTTCAATGGTACAGCCCAGTATGTTCAATGCTTCCTTACATGTCTTGTCACGCCAATGCAATGAGATCCGGATTTCACTCTCTACTAACTTGCTTTATCTTACCGGTGATCTTGTTCTTGCTGGGTTTCGTCCGTAGAGATCTCAGTTGCGGCATTTGAGCTTGGAGGTTCTGTTGTTGTGTCGCTTTCTTTTTGTATGTGTGTAGCAACTTCGCCGGTTAACTTTCTGTGAAGTGAAACGTTTCTATGAACATTTCTTCAGCCAATTTTTTTACCGAGTGGAGCGTCCTCGCACTGGCGTAGCCGATCTCACCGCTGGCTTAGGTGATAAGGTTCGCTCAGACCTGAACAGGAAAACTAGACCGCATTCATTATACTAGTACATACTCCTGGAGTACATTATATAGCCTTAGCAAATGTAGGGATTCACAGTCATTGACTATGGCCAAGCCGGAATCTTAAGCAGAGTCTTTTAAAGGCAGTGTCCGGCAAGAGGTCGATTTTGAAACTTCTCGCTCACCTAGGCCTATTCGCTTGCCAAATCCGAATACATACCGGAGAATGTGAATGGCGAAAAAGGGCCTAACGCAGGAGAGTAAACAGCAGCGCGGGCCTTTCACCCTGCGGAGTCACTCTCCTCTCTCCCGAAGCAATCTTCCTGCTTCCGCTGGCCGCCTTATAGGTATTGTCCAGGTCAACTGGAGGGTGGTGGGACCCTGACGCATTGCGGGAGCACTGCTCTTGACTGATGCAACATAGTGTGGCAACAAAGAGAAGTCCCACTATGCAAAAATGAAAGTACGCTAAGGTATAGGCTTACCATCGTATACCAGTGGCGGTCCCAGGATTTCGGACTGGGGGGGGGGCGCGGAAAAATTTTTTTCAAATGAAGGTGCCTGGCGTTAGCCACGCACTCCGAAAGAATTTTAGGGGTACTTCTCAAAATTTTTGCGGGTCCCCAACCCCTAAAGCCCCCGAAAAAATTTTTTTTATAAGGCTAATTTGAATTTTTAAAAATTTTTAAAAATTATTTTAATTATTTACAAAAAATAGACAAGTCGTTTGCACATTTTTATAACCCATATAGGTAAGTTTCAAAAATTTCGCGACCCATTCTCGCGGGGGGGGGGGGCGCCCCCTCCCCCCCGCCCCCCCCCCCCTCGGACCGCCACTGTCGTATACGTACAATAAGCATAATACGGGAGGCCTATCAAGCATCATTACCCTATTTTCAGGTGTAGAAGCCGCACCCTTTTCGCTCTAAAGGCGAACACCCAAAAGACTGACTGTCATCATGAAGCACGTTAAGTGAGAGCAGTATGCGATAAGGCGACCGCTCGCGAGACATATGCGCGGCCACGCCTGGGTCTGCTCGTTTAGAGCAAAAAGGGTGCGGCTTATACACCTGAAAATAGGGTAGTAGCATTTCGTAACTAGGATGTTAAGTAACCCCTAACCATGTTACAGCAATTTCTATATCCAGGTATCGCGTTTTCAGTGGAACGTTCGTTGCCAAGTGTGATTAGCTTTGTTTGGAAGGTGAGCTAGCTACCTGTTTTCGCACCCAATGAAAACTACAGGTCATTTTTAAAATCGTGACGACGGATTTGACTGTGGCTTTGCGCCCACAGGAGCGTAAAATACTCAAAATAGACATCACCCCAACGCTTCGTTCAGTCACTTCCAATTAAATACTATCACAATAAGCAGAGAAACCATTCAAATAGAGATGAAAACCAACAAAATGCAGTGGCCTGGACATGCGTGCGTGTCGCGCACGTTCGCGCCATCGTCGCGATTTTTCGAATGTCCGATACTCCATTTTTGTTTACCTTAGAAATCCATTCTGAATAACCTCTGAACCATGGAATTGGGAGCAAACCAAAATCGTGCCTTTTTTTCGCATTCAGTGGTTGGTAGATATGGCCGTTCTCACCCACTAGTCACATAGTGAATTAATTCGAATTTGAACTGGAGCAGGCCGGGCGGTGAGCGTGGCAGACGTCGTGCTAATCAAACTTTTCTGTTTTCCTTGTTGTTAAACGCTGCCTGTTTTGAAGATGTACGTAGTAAATTTCAGTGTTGATGAGAATGTTTGTTGCTTCTATTCTCTTTATTCATCTCAGAGTCCAGATAAACTTAGCGCGCCACCCTCTTAGCCCTAAATACAAGCTTACACATGATTTTTTTGTTTTTCTTGTTGTTTACACGCTGATTCTTATGCCATAACAGTGTTCGCGATTGAAGTTGACGATTTGGTTGTTTGAGCGATTCTACATACCAATGTTCTCAATTCTCCAACTCTGTTTTGAACTAAGCTGAAGGAAGATGCAGATGGGAGTCGGTGACATAAAATTCACTAAAGCAACGTTTAACACATGTGAATTAACAAACAGGATGTCCAACCAATTTCCAATCATCGTATCTCCAAGCTTTACCTAAACTCAGAATCAAATAAACGGGATAGAAGTAAGAAATACTACTCAACAACATCAAAATTGCCAATTTTGATTACGTAAAGGCTACTTACTCATGAAGAAGGCGCAGAAGCACAATTAGTTGAGCGGACGCAAACGTGATCTCAGACAGCGGATCGGACCCCTCCGGCGGAGAAATGGCAGGGCCGCGGGGTTTCTCCAGCGGGGTGTCTGCCACTCATGCTCCGGAGCCCCCCGATTTTGCGCTCCGGAGGCCTCCCATTTTGTGCTCCGGAGGACTCCCATTTTGTGCTCCGGAGACCTCCCATTTTCTGCTCCGTAGACCTCCCATTTTCTGCTCCGGAGACCTCCCATTTTCTGCTCCGAAGACCTCCGATTTTCTGCTCCGCGGCTCATCCAAATCTGGCGGACTCGCGGCGGGCAAATTTCTCCGCCGCGGCTGGGTGGAGGACAATATGTCGCCGAATTTGGAAGAGTCCCGCGCGGATTCTCTGCAGGAACGCATGTCCGCGCATGTACAAGGGTGCGTATTTGTCGCAAATGACCGCGGGGACCGCCCTTTTTCGGCGACATATAGTCCTCCACCCGCCGCGGCTCTGCCAAATCTGGCGTACCTCCGGAGCAGAAATGGCGTACCTTTGCAGCAGATCCGGAGAAGGGTCCCACTCGCCTGCCGGTGATGTCACCGCGACCTACAAGAAGGGACCGCCCAATCGCCCCGCTCTCATTGGTCAGCTGGGTCCGGCGCGACTGTGGCAGATTTCGACTGTCCGGCGGAGGGGTCCGATCGATTGTCTGAGATGCGCGTATCTCCGCCGTTGTAAATCCTGCTCCTCGTGCGCTCGGCGGCTAATAAAGCCGCGTTCGCGCCCAAAGATATTGCGCCTTCGTCATGCAACAGTCCATACATCGTTAGAACACGGGGAGTAGCTAACAACAAGGTAAACAGAAAAAATATGCGCAAGTTTGAATCGAGGGCGACGTCTGCCGCGGTCTGCCGCGAGCGACCTGCTCCAGTTCGAATTCGCGTTCATTCACTGTTTCAGACATTCGTGGTTAAGCCCGCAATACTTCACTCACAAAATGAAAACCGCGAAAAAAGGAAATACGAAAAAAACACATCATATAAAAAGTTTTCGAAAGTTTTTATATAATGTGTTTGGAGTAATATTGTATACACATAGCGCGAACTCGGTGTCATATGATGGCTTGTGCGCTATAAACCAGGGCTCGGCACGAGGTGGCTAGATGAAAATGCAAAAAACGAAGTCCCCTTTGACCCTCAACCACATTTCCTCTAAAAACCTAAAAAAATCCCCAAAATCCCCCAAAAAACGAAACGTCGACTAAAAAAACGTCGCCAAATCGCCAATTTTGCGTGTCTCTTCGGCCACAAAAACGAAATCCCTTTGCTTTTCGCCCCAAAAACGATATCCAGCTTGCTTGTAAGCCACCTCGTGCCGAGCCCTGGCTATAAACAAGCCGTCTGTTTGGGTCGTGTATCTGGAATTCGTGCGCTTGCGAAAAAAACGTGCAATGCCTATAACCTTATATTTTTGTCGATTTCTTTCGGGGCTCTGCCCCGAACCGTGCGAAAATGATATCTTCTTTGCTTTATATCCCAAAAACGAAGTCCGGTTTGACCCTAGACCATCTGCGCCGGATCCTGGTCCCATTTCTCTGGCTAAATTAGGGGTGAGGCGCATGCGTATTGCCAACACATGCGTCACTGCTTGATCCTCTGTTTTCTCCCGGGTAGGGGAACAAAAGCCGCCAGTTTGAGCCGCCTCGGCGGTCTGCTGATCATGCATGGAACGACATGCAACAGCACTGCAAAAGGACCAGTTGGCCGCGAAAAGCCGCTCAAACTGGCGGCCTTCGTTCCCCTACCCCTTTCTCCCTAAATATCGCTCCCCTTTCATGTGCAAGTGCAGGTAAACCCCTTGCGCTGAATAACTTGCTTATTTATGCCGACCTATCGGCGTGGTTATTGGGACAGACTGCAAATCATATTCTCTCCCAAAGAACCTTAAAATGGTTTTCCTGAAAATCACTCGTGAAAACTGAAACAAATGAGGAGTGGGTGGGTACGATTCTTGTACGAGTGGAATGTGCTTTGATAGATGCGCAGTTTGTAAAGACAGGCCAATCGATTGTTCATAAAATCTATGACTATGCAAAAAAAAAGTTCACCCGTAGGATTGAGTCCCAAAATCGCAGTGTAATATAATCAAACTTTCATGGTCCTATCAGACAGTGTCTTTCATACCGGTGGTTGCCATTCTGGTGCGATTTATCACTAGAGAGCTCAGCGTTGTCTCTTAGTTGATTTGGAAGTTTTGCTGCATCATAGTCTTCCTTTTGTACTCCGACAGATACCTTACTGCAATGGTCGATTTTTACGGATTCAAAATGAACGAACCCTACCTGGTTGAGTGCTGACGCAATGGGGAAGTTTTCCCTGTAGTTGTACTGGCTGATAGTGTTTGTTCAGGCCTATACAATTATATTTGTATTCGATTCCTTGGAAAAAAGATTAGCGGAAATTGTGCAATAATCGCATTTGATTGTATTCGTTACAACATATTGTTTTACAAGATTAAAAAAAGGATTTTTGTACCTAGGTTTATAGGCACTTGCTAACTGAGTGGTACGCCGTCGTAGTAGGGGAGCTGATGCTGTGGACTTAGATGACGTGGTTTGCTTGGGCCTAAATAGGTGTGCTGATTTAGTTAAACTAAACTCCGTGTTGTTTGAAGAGTGCGGTATCACCAATTACTCAAATCCCGTTGATCATGGACAGAAATCTTAGCCACCGTATCGGCACCTTGGTGCGATAATGACTGAGCCCCAAAAAGCCAGTATTGAAATTCAACAACATCGACTGGGCAACTTGGCAGGTGTTTATTACCAGTAGCTTTCTCCCTTCTCTTTATAGACAGAGTTCGCCCCCGTTTTATTTGAGCTTCGAGGTTTCGTCGTTGTTGGATCGCTCGTCTGACGTACATGAGCGGCATCCTCGCCATTCAGCTTACTAAAATGTGAATGTCAGTAACTTGTGTATGGTATAATCGTAAAACAGCGAAAATATACCGTGTGGAGTGTTGTGGCGTAGATGGTCTAAACGGCGTTGGTCTGGATGATACTGTTTGCTTTGGCCTAAAATGTTCATGACAGACTTCCACTTCTTTACCAGTAATTTATTTGAAATCCATATGGCGATGGTATCCTCATTATCCGAGTATTATAGTCTCAGAATGTATAATGCTAGGTCGTTTCATGAGTTTGAGTTTACAACATACAGTGACCACCAAAAAGTTGCGGACAAGCCTCCCTCTCTTCTTCATCGCTCTTTTTCAGAGAAACAACGATGAAAAAATGTAGTGATTGCATGAGGTGATAGAGCTTTTCAAGATCTACAATCTGCACTTTGAGTTTTTTGAGAAACATGTGTCCTAAAAATTTTAAGAACCTTTTTCTAAAAAAAGTCCGAAAATGGCCGCGTCACAATGTCGCGGACAATAATTCTTCGAACGCAAAAATTTTCTTTCGAGTCCTATTTTGAAGCGGAAACACAACTTATCCGGAGGGGTAAGCATACTACTGTACAGAGCTTGTCAAGAGCTACACACTGGTTATGGTTGCTTCCCCAAAAAACGCAAGCTTGAGTTTTATTTTGGTTTTTTCAAAAAACAACTTTTAATTTCCTTTATCAAGCCAAATTTCTTCACACGGAAACCTGTTCAAGACATTCCAACAAGCCGTCTGGATAAAATAGATGCTCTTTGCCATCCCCTATGGCCCTTGGCAGTGCTTGCACATGACCCCACCTGCACCTCACCACTGACTTGTACCGCTTTGCAGGCTTGTAACTCGGCCTGCAGTCAATATTTGAGCCTGCAATTAGGCTCATTCGAAAGAACGAGACTTCCTCTACACGACGGTATGCAAATGATTTGAGTTTGAGAAATTTCAGAGATTTGGCGGATGGGGTGGTAGAGGGCAGCTTCAGTTGCAGTCTAAGCACTTTTCAGCTAAAGATGAAGAGAGCTCCTTTCGCCACCAATTTCATCCTGGAAGTTCAAAATTGTCAATTTTCTTGTAATAGATCCATTTCGAAGCTCTAAGACTGTTCTGGTGTTCACAAGAGCTTTCACTCCAATCACCTCTAAGGCTGCACTTTTTCACCCCATCCGCCAAATCTCTGAAATTTCACAAACTCAACTCATTTGCATATCATCGTGTCCAGAAACTCACGCTCTTTCGAATGAGTCTACCTGCAGACTCTTATAGTGTCTGGCGGCCGAGCTACAAGCCTGCCAAGCGGTACAAGTCAGTGGTGAGGTGCAGGTGGGGTCATGTGCAAGCACTGCCAAGGGCCATTTTCAGCCAAGAAACTCATCAGCACACGTCCGATGCATAGAGGATGGCAAAGAACGTCTATTTTATCCAGACGGCCTTGTTGGAATGTCTTGAACAGGTTTCCGTGTGAAGAAATTTGGCTTGATCAAGAAAATTAGAAGTTGTTTTTTGAAAAAACTAAAACAAAACTCAAGCTTGCGTTTTTTGGGGAAGCAACCATAACCAGTGTGTAGCTCTTGACAAGCTCTGTATAGTAGTATGCTTACCCCTCCGGATAACTTGTGTTTTCGCGTCGAAATAGGACTCAAAAGAAAATTTTTGCGTTCGAAGAATTATTGTCCGCGACATTGTGACGCGGCCATTTTCGGACTTTTTTTAGAAAAAGGTTTTAAAAATTTTTAGAACTCATGTTTCTCAAAAAACTCAAAGTGTATATTGTAGATTTTGAAGAGCTCTATCGCCTCATGCAATCATTACATTTTTTAATCCTTGTTTTCCCTCTGAAAAAGAGCGATGAAAAAGGGAGAGGGGTTTGTCCGCAACTTTTTGGCGGTCACTGTACATAGAGGAGCGGTTGATTGAGGCAAGAAGCGTATTTCGCTGAGAAGAGCTGGTCATGGGGTGTATCTCATTAGTTGTGACAGCCAATTGCGCAGGCGCCGCGCGCGACAGGCTGGCAGTAACAGTTGCGAGAAGAGCTCGGGTAGCCGACTCGCAAGGCATACTACCCCATCTTTTGTATATGTTTTCACACTACTATATCAAATTTTACTGTTTAATGGAAGTTTGCCCCCCAAATCTTGTAAAAATGGAGTAGATAGCGAATGGAATTATGGTGATTACCATAGGTGCGATAGGGGGAGCCGGGCCCTCTCCAGGTGAAGGGGGTCTCTGCTACTCCCATCCTTGTAAGGTGAAGGGGGTAAGTGAGCCCTGAGAGCAAAATGTCTCAACAAGTTACATACCATTTGAAAACTGAGGTCATATAAAATCGACATAAACCGTCGGCTTTTTCCTAGGTCTTTTGTGCCGCGAGATATGAGGGATTTTATGTACTTCATGTGTCAACTAATTTTGTGTTCTCACTTTCTGCTCTCCAAAAGAATGCTACGAGAAAGTCGACGGTCTACCTGCTAATGAAGACTTGCTCTGTAACGCAGATAGATAACCAGCAGATTAGGTCTTCGTTTGGCAGAAATTTGCTGTTGAAAATGAACATGATTTCAAGTAAAATGCAGTGTATCTCTCGATAAAGGGCGGCTAGAAAGAATTCGACGGTCTACGTCGAGTCCCCTTTTCTTGAGCTTTCGAATGGTATATAGACTGCTGAGCGAAAAAACTTGTCAGTTTTCAAAAATGGCGTGGAGGTATTTACTATTAACTTGCTCCACCCAGCTCCCCCCATGTATTGGCTTTTATCGGTCACCAGAGCAAGTGCTTTTTAGAGCCGGGAAGCAAAAAAGCCCTAACATGCTTCACACCGTTCGAAACCTAAGATTATGGAGAATCGACGTACGCCGTCTCTTTTTTCATAGCTTCTCTGTAGAGCGAGATACGAGCAGTTTTATCTAGCATATCAGCCAATTTTGGATAATTATATTTTCCAACCAAGAAGGTCTTTATCGAACCTTTATATATGAATCGAAAGCATGAAAAACGAGCAATCTGGCTGTTGTTTTGTTTGTTATTATTTTCTCTAGTGAAAAGAGATATGGTATGATTTCTTATCAGTAAACATGCATCCATCGCTAATCGGTTCAGATTTTTCTACTCTTGCTCAACTCTTTTTTGCAAAGTGTATCCATTGATACAATGTTAATTATTCAAAAAATCACCTTTTACTTTTTGATTACGTTTCGTTATCAACGCCCTTTGAGCGCGGAGAAGGTCTCAAGCATGCGTTTTTTAACGAAACGTTGTTTATTCGATACTCTCTTGCAGTCTTGATGTCTGAGGAGAAGAGCAGCTGGCGTTTCCTTTCCAAACAAAAGTTCCGTTGTAATAGCTGTTTGCCTTGATTAGTTTCAACCTCAGGTGAAAGGGGTCAGCCAGATGCCGGCTCTAAAGTGAAGAGGGTCAGAGAAATTTCTCCACCTATCGCATCTATGGTGATTACCATTTATCTGATGACAGAATATGTATTTTTTGTTCTATAAGGTTGTCCGGAAAATAATGCCCGTTTTGAATTCAAAACGCAACAAGTCATACACTTTTCATGTCTAGAAAGTACGCAAAGTACCTTTCGATAAAGCAAAGCAAGCTCTACAAGATGAAACTCTTGCTTTTGCAATAGCTCTGATCCACCTCCAGTTTCAAGCCAAAAACCAAAAAGATTCAATTGCTTAAGAAATCGAAAAAAATCGTAACTCAGTCTAAAAATCCTACAAAAATTCTAACTTGTTTACGTAAACGCTGTCTAATAATACATCTATATACGCCGTTTTCGTATTTTTTCTTCTGTTAGTAATTGAGAAATCTAAAATTTTCATGTTTTTGTCAAAATGATGCTGTGCTGTTCCCACATAGGTAGCTGTATACTACAAGCCTGTAAAAGTGCAAATGTAAATTTTCAGCTCTGTGCAAGCTTTGGTTCTCGAGAAATATCGGATATAGCTTACCCTACTCAGGTGGGCCAAGTTAAAATTCGAATTTCTCGAGAACTAAAGCTTGTAGAAAACTGGAAATTTACGTTTATACTTATACATGTTTGTAGTATACAACTCATGTGGGGATGGCACAGCATCACTTTGGCAAATTTACGAAAATTTCCTTTTTTTTAATTTCTAACAGAGGAAAAAACACGGCGATGGCTATATAAATGTATTATGTAGAAAGTGTTTACGTGGGCAAGTTAGAATTTTTGTAGGATTTTTACAGACTGAGCTACGATTTTTTTTCGATTTTTCAAGCAGTTGAATCTTTCTAGTTTTTGGCTTGAAACTGGAGGTGGATCAGAGCTATTGCAAAAGCAAGAGTTTCATCTTGTAGAGCTTGCTTTGCTTTATCGAATGGTGCCTTGCAACCTATCTAGAAATAAGAAGTGTTTATAGCCGTTGGAATTCAAAACGGGCATAAATTTCCGGACAACCTAATACTAACGTGACCCCTAAGCATTTCCTCTGAGACATTTTCTCTGCCCTGCTGCCTCTCGCCCAGGTTACTGTAACGCCGCATCGCAACAATTAATTGACACCCGCAAGCAATGGGCGCCCTCCCTGATCATGCTATTTGAAATGAATTTATGGATTTCGACGGAAATTTGATCTACTTCGACGTCTCAGTCTTTGAAGATGAGTTCACAAAGCCATTCGTTGCACCTGCTCATTTTCTCATGAACGAAGCTTTTTTGCATCAAATTTTTGCCGATTATAGATGGCGTTTGCAGCCGGTTTGAGACAAAAATTGATTTGATTGCTTAGAAAAAGCGGTTCAAAGACTTTTAGTGGGACGGGCAGGACGTTCTGCACTAAAAGACGCCTAATAAAGAGGCTAGTAACTTCTTTTGCATGGCACATGCCTCCATACGGCAAACGTCGTCAAAACTCGCATCTACGTTTCGACTGAGAGGGACGTCATCCAGAGTTCTCAGATCCCGCCCTACCGAATCATCACTTGTCCCGCTCTCTTGCGAAAAATATGAACGAGGCCTGTTTTGATTGTGAACGATCTTAGGGCTGCTGAAACGGCTGTTTTTGGGAGATCAGACCCGCTAAACTTTCACTAAACGAGGCTGAAAACCCGGTGCGGCGAAAGTTTATGTGCATCAATGAGATACAGGCGATTTATCGCACGCAAAG